AGGTGGGTGGGTGGGTGGATGGGTGGATGGGTAGGTGGGTGGGTGGGTGGATGGATGGGTGGATGGATAGGTGGATGGATGGATGGATAGATGGGTGAGTGGATGGATGGATGGATGGATGGGTGGGTGGGCGGGTGGATAGATGGGCGGGTGGGTGGATGGATGGGTGGGTAGATGGTAAATGGATGGGTGGATGGATGGGCGGATGGACAGACAGACGGTTAGGTTGATGGGTGAGTAGAGCGGTGGATGGGTGGGCAGGTGGATGGGCAGTTGGAGGGGTGGAGGTGTGGGTTCTTGGGTGGGTAGATGGGTCAGTGGGTGGATGAAAATATTGTGGATGTTTGCTGAATGAACAGGACCCTTCAGCATGGTCCTACAGCAGAAGGTACATGGATGGGTCCACAGGCAGCTGGGGAAGGGTAGAAGGTGGAAGTCTCCAGGGCGGGAGAGGCAGCCTTGCTTCTGTGATAAGGAGGCAAGGGGTGTGCTGCAGGAGGCCCCAGAAGGTGCCCTTTGCACAAAAGATATATGAATATGTCCTTAGAAGTTGGAGCATAGAAGACAGAATCTCTTCTGCTGTAGAGTATTTCAATCCTGTTCTTTTAAAAATAATGAGTGCGTGTAGAGCAAGGCTGCATATCCAGACTTCTCATCACTGGCATCTTGGAAGCTTGTGCTCACGCCTTTTGCTCCGTCTAGGTGAACCCTGGGTCTCCACCTCCCAGCCCTGACTCTGTAGGCAGGTGGGGTGTGAAGTGGGAGGAGAGAAAAAGAAGGTCCCTGTATCAGGCAGGCTCTCCCCAGGAACAGAGCCCCTGGGATATAAACAAGATTTATTTTAAGGTCTTACGTGATTGTGGGGGCTAGCAAGTCCTAAATCCACAGGGCAGGACACTGAGGCGGGGGCTGGCGACGCTGTCTCAAGACAATATCTTCTCCAGTAAGCCTCAGTCTTTGGTTCTCGGGTTTTCAGTGCACGGGATGAGGCCCAACCCCGTGATGAAGGTTAATCCCCTGTACTCAACGTCCAGTGATTGCAGATGCTGCGCACATCTGCAGAATTGCTGCACAGCAGTATCTAGAAGAGCGTCTGATTGAGTAACGGGACTGTAGCCTGGACAAGTGACCATCCCAGAGGCTTTGGAGGAAAAGCCGCAGGGAATATCAGCTCTGGGTGACAGTCACAGCAGTTGAAACCTTTGGCGTGGTCAGTGCTATTAACCTGTTGAGCTGCCTCTGAGCATAATTTGCTACAGTCAGATAGATGATGCTTGTTTTAAACATCTAAGTGATGCTAAGCCCTTGCTTCCCCCGGGTTCAGTTTTTGTTTTTCTTTTTAAAGATGACTGGTAAGTGGATCTTAACCCTTGACTTGGTGTTGTCAGCACCACACTCTGCCGAGTGAGTGAACCGGCCACCCCTATATAGGGATCCGAACCCGTGGCCTTGGTGTTATCAGCACCGCACTCTCCCGAGTGAGCCACGGGCCGGCCCTACCCCATGTTTGGTTTTGCTTGGACATTCTTTTCGGTGAAATCACGCCACTGTCCCTGTATTTTCAGGTTACAGTAACACAGAGTTAGCGAATCTGTACCTGGTGTCGGACAGCGAAGACTCTCTCCACAGCTTCATTATGCGCAACAATGATCACACCTGGAATCTCTTTACACACCTGGAGTTTGCCATCCAAGAGGGAACAAGCCAACCCCGCCGGGCTCTTGGGAAGGAGGCAGAAGATTTGTTCCAGGTAGTAAAACTACAGAGATTTGTTTTGATCTGTGTTTTGCTAAAGGACACCTTAAGAGACAAAGGGAATCACAGGGGGACAGAGAATGAGAGACAGGGAAAAAGAGACACGTGGACAGAGACAGAGGGCTGCAGCAGCCCTGGCAGGGCTGGTCGCTCTCTAGACTGCTGGCCAATGTGACCTGGGTGACCCCACAGGAAGAGCTGGGGACACTTTGAGGAGCTGGTGGCTTCTGTACAGGGCGCACCTGCGTGGGAACTGCTGAGGGAGCAGTGGGGAAACCACACTTTCTTTCTTCCTGGTTTTCCTCCTGACTCTGTTAAAGGGCAGTCTATAGTCTCCATACTGCAGATCACTGTTGTTGGAGAAACTCACATACTTTGAGCTTAGTGTGTGGTGTAGACCACGTGGACTGCAGTGGAGACCCCATGGATATCAGAGTCCTGCTGTCCCTGGGCAGCCCACCTCCACCAGACCAGCTCCCCTCCAGCCCACTCCCCTCGGAGCCCCAGCCCAACTCCAACTCCTCCCAGCTCAGATCCACCCCTCCCCAGCCCAACTCCAGCTCCTCCCAGCTCGGCTGCAACCCCTCCCCAGCCCAGCTGCAACTCCTCCCAACTCTGATCCACTCCTCCCCAGCCCAGCTCCAACTCCTCCCAGCTCGGCTGCAACCCCTCCCCAGCCCAGCTCCAACTCCTCCCAGTTCTGATCCACCCCTCCCCAGCCCAGCTCCAGCTCCTCCCAGCTCTGATCCACCCCTCCCCAGCCCAGCTTCTCCCAGCTCTGATCCACCCCTCCCCAGCCCAGCTTCTCCCAGCTCTGATCCACCCCTCCCCAGCCCAGCTTCTCCCAGCTCTGATCCACCCCTCCCCAGCCCAGCTTCTCCCAGCTCTGATCCACCCCTCCCCAGCCCAGCTTCTCCCAGCTCTGATCCACCCCTCCCCAGCCCAGCTTCTCCCAGCTCTGATCCACCCCTCCCCAGCCCAGCTTCTCCCAGCTCTGATCCACCCCTCCCCAGCCCAGCTTCTCCCAGCTCTGATCCACCCCTCCCCAGCCCAGCTTCTCCCAGCTCTGACCTCCCCAGCCCAGCTCCAGCTCCTCCCAGCTCTGATCCACCCCTCCCCAGCCCAGCTTCTCCCAGCTCTGATCCACCCCTCCCCAGCTCCAGCCCCTCCCAGCTCTGCTGCAACCCCTCCCCTCTCAAGCTCTGCTCTCACCCCTTCCCCAGCCCAGATTCAACCTCTCCCCTCCACAGCCATAGTCCAGCTTCCTCCGCTCCCCTGTTCCAAGGCCTCCATCCACCTGGGGGAAGGTCGGGTGTCCCTGGCGAGGTGTGGAGGGACAAGGTTGCTGCAGCACCAGCTCATGCCAGGCTCTCTTCTAGGACTCCCACCCCCAGAGCAAGGAGACGCAGCTCCAGTTCATGCGGGCTATGCATGGCCTCACCAGGCTGACCGCGCACCAGGTGGCCACGGCTTTCAACTTGTCCTGGTTCACCTCTGCCTGCGACCTGGGAGGTGTGTAGACCCCACCAGGAGGCGGGTGCAAACAGCTCTGTGCAAGTCTTTTCTCTTAGGAATCCGTGGGCGCCCTGCCTGCTAAGACGACTTGCAAAATTGGTTTTTCTGATTATAAACCACCTAAGACCTAAATAGGGCTGGGGTGAGTGCTGGGTCATGGGCACATATTCCCAAGTTCTAGGGGGTTCCTGGAGACCCTTATACAGGTTATGAGGCCTGTCCTGGTGGCTGCTAAGTGGAAGAGACACTGTGGAGCCCCTGCGTTCCCTCTCACCAGGTCTGGTTGTGCTCCACTTAACCCCACCCTAGCCTAACCCTTACCCTGCACAAGGATGAGGAACGGACACCTTCCCAGGGGTGTAGTGGGACTGGGGACCTGGGAGGACTGTCATGCTGCCAGCTCATGTTTCTCCATCCTCTGCATGCCATTCATCCTGGTGGCCTAGAGTAGCTGCTGAGGTGCCAGCCATCGCATATGCTTTCCCACAGCAGGAAAGAGAAGGGACACATACAGCCCCCCATGGCTGGGCTGTAAGGATTCCCCTGTGAGTCTGTGCCCACCCCCACCTATGTGCTTGGTCAGCACCAACTCACATGGTCTCCACTCTGGGACATCTGCCATCTCCCCACGGCTGGTTCTGTTCTCCAGCATTGCCCTCAGTGCCATGCCCGAGAACGGCATTTGGGTTTTGCCTGAGTTGAACTTTGGAGACTCACCATGGGTTCTGTGAGCACCAAGGGGGTCTGGCCACAGTGTCTGTATTTGTTTCCCACAGGCTGCACAGGTGCCCTGGCCTGCAAGCTCGCCCAGGAGTACCCGCATCTGCAGGTGACCGTGCTCGATCTCCCAAATGTCATGGAGCACGCCTCCTGTTTCCAGCCCCATGGACCAGAGGCTGCGCAAATCAGCTTCGTGTCAGGTGCATTGCTCATTGTCTTTGCTTTGAGTTAACATTTTGCCAGGCTAATTTATCTCTTTCTATGTAGAAAATGTGTGTCTGTTTGTGTGGTGTGTGCTTGTGTATGTTTCTGTGTGAGAGCATGTGACTGTGTTTCCATGTGTCTGTGTGTGCCTGCGTTCTGTATATTTCCATGTGTGTCTGCATGTTTCTGTGTGTTAGTGTGTATTTGTGTGTGCATGTATCTGTGTGTGTGAATGTCTGTGTGCATGCATAGTGTGTTTGTGGCGTGTGCTTGTGTGTGTGAGAGCATGTGTATATGTGTGTGTCTCCATGTGTCTGTGTAAGGGGCTGGCCAGTTAGCTCGGCTGGTTAGACCTCTGCCTTGTAACACCATGTGTCTGTGTGTCTGCATCTCCGTGTGTGTATGTGTCTGTATATTTCTGTGTGGATGTGTATGACTGTGTTTTTCTGCATGTCTGTGTGTATGCACATATGTGTATGGTGTATGCTTGTGTGTGTGAGAGAGCATGTGTATATGAGAGCATGTTTCCATGTATCTGTGTGTCTGCATCTCCATGCGTATGTGTCTCTGTGTATTTCAGTGTGCGTGTATGTGACTCTGTGCTTGTGTGTGTGTCCATGTCTCTGTGCATGCGTGTGTGTGTTTGTGGCATGTGCTTGTGTGTGTGTGTGTGAGAATGTGTATATGTCAACATGTCTCCATGTGTATGTCTGCATCTCCGTGTGTGTCTCTGTGTATTTCCATGTATGTGACTGTGTTTCTGTTTGTGTGCATGTCTGTGTGCATGCATATGTGTGTGTGGTGTGTGCTTGTATGTGTGTGAGAGCATGTGTATAGGTGAGTGTGTCTCCATGTGTCTGTGTGTCAGTGTCTCTGTGGGTATATATGTGTCTGTGTATTTCTGTGTGTGTATGTGTTTGTGACTGTATTTGTGTGTCTGTGTGTCTGTGTAGGTGCATATGTGTGTGGTGTGTGCTTGTGTGTGTATGATGTATCTATCTGTGTGTGTGTGTGTGTCTGGGTCTGCGTTCACATGTGGGTGCGTGTTTGGGTGGGGATGGGGAATGGCCAGGGCGGCATCCACAGGCATATACAACCATCTGAGGCCATGGAAGGAAGTGACCCCGGAGCTGCAACAAGAAGGACTTGGGTTAGACTCAAGGAAGAACTTCCAGGTGGCAGCTGCAGATGACACAGGGGATTGAAGGAAGCCGCTAATGTCAGCCCGTCTGACTGTGGCCTTGCCTGCGGGCAGATGTACTGGGGGGTCTCCATGCTCTTTGCCCTGTGACTTCTTGATACTTTTTTTTTTCTTTTTTTTTTTTTGAAGGCACTTACCCTAAAGCTTCAGTTTTACGAATCTGATGAGAAGGTGTGCTGTTGACTTGTATCTATAGAAACAGAAACATTGAAGTTTTATAGAAACACCAACCCTAAAAGACAGAGTGTTATTTTCCTTGCTGCTGTCAGGGAGCTCAGACTTCCCTCTGTAGACCTCGTCCTGTGTGTCCTCTCCTGCCCTGACTGTCCCTTCACACTAGCTCACGTTCCCTTTCTCACTTTCTGCTTTGGGTTCATGTCTGTGGGCTCCATCCAATCCTGTGCTGAACAAAGCAGGGATAGAAATAAATAAATATGATGGTTTCTGTGTCCACAGGGACAGACCAGCATGCGGTGGGTGCATCGGTTTCCTGGGACTGCCAAACTAACTACCACAAACCGGGTGACCTAAAAATGAGACAAATTTCTAACTCAACAAAAATGTATCCTCTCCCAGTTCTGGAGGCAGGAGTCTGAGGTCCAGGTGTGGCGGGGCCGTGCTCCCTCCGGAGGCTCCAGGGGAGGGTCCTTCCTGCCTCTTCCAGCTCCTGGCGGCTCCAGGCGTCCCTGAGCTTGTGCCCAAATCACTCCAGTCTCTGCCTCTGTCTTCACGTGGCTTCTCCTCTGTGTGTCTCCTCTTCTGTCTCTTGTGTGGACACCTGTCTTTGGATTTAGGGCCACCCTGATCCAGGATGACCTCATCTTAATCTACATCTTAATTAAATCTTCAAAGATTTTTTTCTAAATAAGCTCCCATTCCCAGGTGCTGGGGGTTAAAACCTGAAAATGTCTTTTTTGGGGGACACCATTCACCCCACTACGGCCAGGCATCTCTTGATTTCAGCCATCCTAGAAGGTGGTGCAGATAAGCACCCTCCCCATGGCGTCTCCCCCAGGCTTCCTGAATCCAGGGGTGGCCCAGCTGCCGCTTATAAAGAAAGAGCGAGAAGCCGGCGCCCATGACCTGGTGCTGGCCAGGACGCTGTCCCGAGGCGTCCAGGAAGCGGTACTGCCCCCGTTCAGGCTGGCCCCACCCGCCCTGGCAAGACACGTGCTGCCCAATGTGGCGCCTTTGCCCGTGTTCCTCCTCTGCCTTCAGAGACACACGCAGGGAGACCCCTTCACACCTGGACGCCCCCTTCCTCCCTCCCAGAATTGAGGTTTCTGGGCACTGACCCAAGTTCTGTCACACGGAAGACACCCTCTTGTGTCCCTGATGGATTTATCATGTCTTGTTTTTCAACCAGGTGACTTCTTCCGAGACAGCCTCCCCAGAGCCGACCTGTACATTCTGTCCAGGATCCTCCACGACTTGCCGGACGACAGAGTCCACGACTTACTGAGCAGGGTCTCGGGGAGCAGCAAACCAGGTGAGAACACCTCGTGATGTTTCCTTTTCCAACAACATTAAGAGAGCTTTTGATGCAGACCAGGGTGAGGGTGAGTTTTTATAAAGAGTGTAAATGGCCCCATCCAGATGCCTGGCCGTCGTGGGGGGAATGGTGTCCCCCAAGAGGATATGTCCAGGCGCTCATCCTCGGTGCCCAGGACTGGGAGCTCATTTGGAAATAGGGCCTCTGAGAACGTAAGGAAGACATGATTGGAAGCTGCTGGTGACAAGGCCCTGAGACTTCACCTCCCCAACACCTGGGGCTGTCTGGGCATCCAGGCCGGGCCATGCGAGTGGCAGGACCAGACCCGCCCTCCTGGGCCGTGCTGCAGCCCCTGAGCAGGACCCAGGTCACACAGGGGAGAGGCTGGGCCCTTGTGGCTGTGGAAGAGGGTCGCCGGCCCAGGTGGAGACGAAGGTCACTGGAAGTGTCCTGGATGTCATGGTGGCGTTTTGAGGGCCCAGACCTTGACCTGTGGTCTCCAGGCTCCCTGGCAGAGGTGCTCTGTGCTCTCTGGGCTGGTCCCCGGGCTGGTCCCCAGACCTGTCCACAGTTGGTCGTGGCTGACGTAGCCCATCTGGCCAAGGAGCCGAGAAGACCCAGCGGCCTGGCCCATCTCCAGAGCGCGGCGGGCGCTGATGGCACACACACGTTTTACTGTTTCCTTCCTGTGCGGTTCCAGCAGGTGGGACACGCTGCACCTTGGGGCTGGTTTTCAACAGCGTATCCTACTGCTGTCTTCCACGTCCCCGGGAAACTGTCATCTTTCTTTAGTCTCAGATTTTGAGCAAAAACTGAAGCACAGGGGGTTTGTACAAATTGAACCTGCAGGGACTGTCCCAGCATCCAGCGTCCCATCAGCAAGGACCTCCTCCCGGGATAGCACAGCGTTCTCTGTGTCCATCTTACTCCCCGTGCAACATCAGCCGGTTATTCCCGCACATGAGCCACCGTCGCACTGGAGCACATTCCTGTGCTTAGCTTTCCTGAATGCTGCTTCCCTCCCCCATGCCTGGCCTCTTCCCATGACCTCTGGCCTCTGAGAACGTAAATGGGACGCCCACTCCAGGGTGTTTTGTGGGACCCCACTCCGGTGCACAGGCCCGGCCAGCGGACCACTCGGTGCCCATGTCCTTGAGGACGGCTGCTCCGTTCCTGGGCGCCCACGGCTGCTCTGAAGCTGTCTCTAGCTGCAACGCAGGCATTTCTCCTGTCCCTTCCATCCATCCCTGGCCTGTCCCCCAAGGAAGAGGGACCTCCTGTGTGCTAGAATGGACGCGCTTGGATGACAAAGAGCCTGCTGGTCTGTGCCATCTCCCCTCATGTGAAGGACACGGCAGGACTGGGGGTCACCCACTGGGACAAAGAGAGCAGAGGAGACAGGAGCAGGTTGGGAGTGGTGGGCAGATGGCAGGTCTGGAAAGAGGAATGGACACAGCACGGGCAGCAGGGAGGCCAAGGGACAGCCCCGGACTGCAGCCCCAAGGGAAAGCCACCCCCACAGCTGTGACAGCCTCCAGAGGCTCAAGGTCAGCAAGTGGGGGGTGAGGAGTTGGAAACAAAGGGATGGATTTCCCCCGCCATGAGTTGGGGGACGGGGAGAGAGAGATTTGCTTTAAGAAATTGGCTTCCATGATCGTGGAGGTTGGCAAGTGTGCAGGCTGCAGGGCTGACCAGCAGGCTGCAGACCCAGGTGGTTCTGCAGCTGGAGTTCAAAGGCCATCGGGGGAAGAATCCCCTCTTCCTGTGGGGGTTGGTCATGCGTATTTTATGCAGTCCTTCATCTGATTAGACGCGGCCCGCCCACATCATAGAGCATCTTCTGCTTTATTCAGAGACCACTGATCGCAGTGTTGATCTCATCCGAATAGCAACTTCTCAGGAACACCCACAGTGATGTCTGGTCACGTCTCTGGGCACTCTGGCCAGCCTGATGGATATGCAAAATTCATCCTCTTACCAGCCCATCCATACCCACTGATCCCTGGCCCCTCCCCACAGTGACTGAGCTAGGAAGGGTTGGCTCTGGGGTCATCCATGGTCGCCGGCTCAGGGCACACGGCATGGCATGGGGGAGAGCTGTGCAATGGATAGAGGGTTGGCTTACCCTGCACCCATGGCCTCTGTGTGCCAGTGGCTCTGTCCCCTGGGGAAAAGCCCCCTCTGTCTTGCTGACCTGGAGAGGGGGGTTCCAAGGTGCAAGAGATGCCAGCCGCCACCGAGTCCCAGCTTCCTACAGTCCTGACATCCGGCAATCACTAGGCATGCGGAGAAGTCTCCCAGGAGAAGCCCGAGGCCAAAATCAAGCACATGGAATGTGGGGGAAGGTGACAGTCTGGGAGAACAGCGACAGAGGCGTCCAGAGACAGCACAAGGTGGCGAGAGACACAAGGAAGAAGAACGGTCCTGGAATGAAATGAGGCTCAGGAAGTGGATGGACTGGAAGGTACAGTCTGGGGAAGGAGGACATTGGATAGAAAGTGGGCATCCTGACACACGTGCTGAAGTCCGACCCGCTGGTGCTGGCAAGCTGGAAACTGTCCCCACCAGTTGTGGTGCAAAGCCAGCGTTTCAGAATTCTGGGATCCACAGATGGGCTTTCCTGTCGAGAGGGTGGAAACCAAGTCTTGCAGCAAGAACTGGCCCAGAAACACAGGCAGTTCCTCGAAAGCAGTATTAAAGCAAGAAATCATCAGTCCCCTGCGACTGAGGGGAGGCTGATTTTCAGGGATTCCCAAATGACACACCACGTCCGTGGACAGAGAAAAGTACCTTTGCAGATGTATGGACTCAAAAAATGTGCCTCCCACCCACCTCCCTTTCTTAGGAAGCTCCTGGTAGACATGCTGTTTCCAGAAACCAGGAAACTAGGGCTGCCTGGGGTAAGGGCGACCCTTGTGGGGTCAGCCCTGAGGCACTGCCCACATGGGTGGGAGGAGGGGCCAAGGAGCCAGGGCCCGAAGGACGGGCGGATCGGTTATCTCATGCATCGGAAGGTTTGGAGAAAAGTACTGCAACGTGTGGACAGATCTGCAAAACTTGGTATTTTGACAGATACCAAATGAGAGCATTTGGAAGACTGATAAAAGGTGCGTGGAAAACCAAGCCAGTTTTTTAAATGGGCAAATTTTATAGTTGCTGAGGACGACATAGTTGTGGTGTCCTTGTTGGTCTGTGTAGTGGGATGACCCGTAACCCCTCCCCCAACAAATCATGTCCATCTGGAACCTCAGAACAGGACCTTATTTGGAAATAGTCATCTTTGCAGATGTAATTCATGAAGATGACTTCATCCTGGGTTATCTGGTTGGGCCCTAAATCCAATGATGAGTGTCCTTATGAGAGACAGAAGAGGAGACAGACGCAGAGGAGAAGCCTCGTGAAGACGGAGGCAGAGGCTGGAGTGATGCGGCCACAAGCCCAGGGACGCCTGGAGCCACCAGGAGCTGGAGCCTCCGGAGGGAGCACGGCCCTGCCACTCCTGGATCTCAGACTTCTGCCTCAGGAACTGGGAGAGGACACATTCCTGTAGCTTTAGCCGCCCAGTGTGTGTTGATCTGTTGCGGCAGCTCCAGGACACTCCCACAGACTGGGAAATGAAGGTTTTGTACGTGGTCATAGGAGGGTCACCGTGGACATTGGGCGTGCCCACCACTAGGATCTGGGCTCCCTGAGGGCAGGTTTCTGCCTGTTCCTGCCTGCTGAGCCCCCAGCCCCTAAAGTGCAGCCTAGCACATGATTGATGTTAAGCTATTGAAGAGTGAAAGAGTCGCATAATCGTGACGTTGCCCAGGGGAGGTGGCATGGGGATGTGACAGAGCTAAATCCCCACCCCTGTCATGTATTTTTTTACATTCTAAAATGTTGCCAAGCAGGTGGGGGGGGGAGGGGGAGGGAAGTGGAGTGGGGGGGTCATGGTCTGGCCGGTGGCACACTCTGGAGAGAGCAATTTCTAAATCGTATTCCTGCTGTGAAGGGTTGGGTGCAGTGCTGTGTTGGAGCTTGTTAAATTTTCAGGAATTCTCCAAGCCCATTAACACCAGGTAGTTAGGTTGAAATCCGCCATGCTGGGAGTATTTACACCACAGAAATCTGCACACACTAAATCAGGCCTTCCTGCCCCGCTCAGCTGCCTGTTAAGTGCTTACCAGCAGCTGGGGGGTGCAGCGGGCAGAGGTCACAGGTAAGAGTTGAAAGTAGCTGCTTCCAAGAAGTTCTGCCCAGCACTGCTCTTCATAACATAAGACTTTGGAGCCAGTCAAGTTAACCCTGCTTATGTATTACATTGAAAACCATAAAAATTGGGCCGGCCCGTGGCTCACTCAGGAGAGTGCGGTGCTGATAACACCGAGGCCACGGGTTTGGATCCCATATAGGGATGGCCGGTTTGCTCACTGGGTGAGCGTGGTGCTGACAACACCAAGTCAAGCGTTAAGATCCCCTTACCAGTCATCTTTCAAAGAAAAGAAAAACATAAACATTAGTAGAGTATACACCATGATCCCAGTCTTGTTAGTTGTGTATACACTTAAATACTTAGGACAAAATGAGACAATGTGTAGAAATTTACCAGTGACTACCTCCGGCATGTAAAACTGTGACTTGTACCTCACCTGTGCTTTTTTGTTGGACTCCCCAGGTAATCCAAACAAAAGAAAAATGCAGATAGAAACCACCTCCCACCCACTCCCTTCCATCCCAAAGTTATCTTCTTGCAGTGACCGGTTGCTCCATCCTTGGCTCAGCCGGGTGGCTAAACGTTTCAGGAGGTTGGGGAGGGTCCTTGGGGACCCCAGTGTAACTCTCTGTCTCCTGGAGTCTGGTCCCTTTTTCTCATTCTGCTGGTGAAGAAAGCTGGGCCCCGGCGCCACCTCTGGAGTCTGAGTTCACAGGGTCTGCCTCAAAGAAAACCCAGACGCTGGCGAGGTTTTCCTCACCTCTGCTAAGTGCCTTAGAGCCAAACAAATGCTTGGGGGCGGGGGGGGGGGGCTGTATCTATATCTGGTTAGATGGATGGATAGGTAGGTGGATAAGTACATAATATAGACGGACGACAGATGACT